GCGAGCTGCACTGGCTTCCCATCGGTCTCCGAACGCAATTCAAGGTGTTGGTCATTACCTTTAAAGCCCTACATGGCTTGGGACCTGGATATCTGCGGGACCATCTCCTGCCAAATACCTCCCAACGTCCTATAAGATCTCACAGGTTGGGCCTCCTTCGGGTACCGTCGACCGGGCAGTGCCGGTTGGCGACTACTCAGGGGAGGTCTTTCTCTGTAGCTGCCCCAACTCTGTGGAATGATCTACCTGCAGAGATCCGGACCCTTCCCACTCTCTCGGCCTTCCGTAAAGCCACTAAAACCTGGCTGTTCCGGCAAGCCTGGGGCTGTTGACCCCAAATACGGTCCAGCCCCACTTAGAACGGTGTGCATGGTGTGTTTTAAATCTATGTTTTTTAAATCTATCTTTTCTTTTCTTCCATTCTTTTTTTAATTTACTTTGCCACCCGGAGTCCTACGGGATTGGGCGGCATACAAATGTTATTAAACTTATTAAACAAGACCATAGAGGCATTCCTCATGGAGCAAGGGTTCCAGCACATACTCATCTCTCCTTTTCACCCGGCAAGCAATGGGCAGGCTGAGTGGATGGTGAGACTAACCAAGGAAACCCTCACCCAAATGGGCCCAGGGAATTGGCAGGAAAAAGTTGACCAATTCCTCCTCGCTCAACACATCACCCCTCATGCGACCACCAACAAGAGCCCAGCGGAGTTGCTGATGGGAAGAAGGCTGAGGTCACAACTTAACCGATACCACCCTGACTACCTTCCTGAGACTCCTCTGAACTCTGCACGGCCCACGTGGGCATTCAACATATAGGACTGGGTATTCGCAAACAACTATGCAGGGTACCCGACCTGGCTGGCGGGGTGAGTCGTGGCTGTCACTGGCCCCACGTCATACCACATTGAGCTGGAGGACGGGCGAAACTGGAAGAGGCATATCGACCAACTCAGACACTGCCTGGGGGACACCAAGCTGAGGAACCAGGGTGATTGGACTGCGACCGGAGGGCCAGAGCAACCCTCACAGAACTTGAGGTCTCCACCCCGAGGAGCACGCTCAACCACTGGCCTAGAAGCAGACGAGCAGGAACCTGGCCTACCCAGTGGCCCAACAGGGGAACTAAACACCAACTCGAGCCGCGACCACTTATCTGGGATCGAGGGCATCTAGCAGGAAATGACGGTCTCAGAAGCTGAAGGAACCAGGATGAAACTTGACTTGAGGCTGAGGAGTTCCAAAAGGTTCCTTCCCAGACAGCTGGAGGGACAGCAGATTTGACCGCTGCAGCCGAGATCCCAGGGACAAGTGAACTGTGCAGGTCCAGTAGGCAGCTGGTGCGCCCCGCCTACCTGGAGGACTACGTGACATACATAGGCAGGGGATTGGACACTGTTCATTCTAGGAGGGGAGGGGTGTTACGTACGACATACGTCAGAAATCTACATCAGTTTCCATGCTCACCGCGAATTGGCTAGAATCTACATAGATTTTCATGCTCACCACGGATTGGCTGTCCCAATTGGCTCGCCCCTCCCTAAAGGGTGAGCTCCGGCAGCCCAGCTGGCAGAGCGCAGTCTCATTTTGCTGGAAATAAAAAGTGCTGACATCACTAGCGACTCTCACCTGCTGCATTTGCGCCAATCTAACAAGGAGTTACCCAATTATTACCACTAGATGATTGGTGCGTCTATGTGTGTGAAGGCTAACATATTAAGACAAATAGACATAACAACTGTCAGGATGAAACCATATGATTTGTTATGTATCTGTGCTCTTCCCACCCACCTATATTATACCTACTTTACCTGAAAGAAAGATTGGAAACCATAGGAATCTTGAACAATTCAGAAAGTACCTGAAAAATGCCAACCCCTTACTTTGTTCCGTGGGCTCTGGTCTCTCAATAATGCTTTGCATCATATACAAGCAGTGGAGGAAATCCTAGCTAATGATACTGGGGAGATTTTTATTGCTGCAGCAAAAGAACAAGAAGCCATTCAGACAATGACAGAATAGAATGGCTCTAGATATGGTATTGGCATTCTAAGGAGATGCGTGTGCACTGCTTGGACAACAATACTGTGTGCATATTCAGGACAAATCGGAAGAATTCCACAGCTGAACTACACACTTTGCAAAGATAACTGCAACACCCCCCTACCCTATGGACGAATGAAAAGATTAGTGGCATTGAGTGACAGGATGGTTGCCTGATTTCACTGGTTAAGTACCTAATAATGACCCTGGCAGGAATAGTCATTGTTCTCTTAATCACCTGTTGTGCATTACAATGCCTTCTGCTTTGCCTCCCCACCTGTAAGCAAACTGCAGGGAGGGGGGGATGTCTCCCAGTACACAGATATTGGTGTTGGATGAATCTTGGAAAATTAGATCATTTTTAGATTAAAGAGGGGCGGAATGATGGGCTGGCTGCTAAAGCAAGGTCATGGCACACACTTGAAAGTAAATAAGGAAGACTGTAATGGGGGGGGGTGTCTGTCTGTCTCACAAGAACAAAGAATGCTTATCAACAGGAAATATGCATGTGTAAAGCTTGTAGCAATTATGGGTAGCTAGAAAGCTGATAAAAAATAACAAGAATTAGACAACTTGCAGACCTCAGCTAAAAGTTAGGAATAGAGAAGACCTGCAGCAAATGAAATGTGTATTAGATAACTCCTGGGGCATTCAGTAGCCAAGGCTTAGGAAGAGGGCAACTATAGACCAATAGAACAAATTGTAGAATTATTACCAAAATATTTATTAGATGATATTTCTTGTTATCTCACCTTGTTCTACCTTCTCCTTTAATGAAAATGTATAAAGTTCACTTAATCCTTTGTTCTTGGCCTTTTGACCAGGAACCCTTTTCCTTGGAATACTCCAATAAAAAGCAATCAGAAAACCTGCACCTCGTGTCTGGCGTCCATCATTGGCTTCAACACCAGGCTCAGACCCAAATTGGGGACAACACTTATTTTGAAGTGAAGTTTCAAAAGAGATCTATTTTTAGTTCTATTTGTAATCTAAGAATGCAATTTTATGATGTCTTGTTTTGACTGAAAAATTCTACATTACTCTTCAACCATTTGTCTACTTCTTCCTATTCTGTTCTGCCATTCACCTCGACCATGAAGTCATAATCCAGGAAAGCCTTCCTTTATCCAGTGACTTTCAGATAGTTTGAGCTACAGTTCTCATAATTCTGTTGAATCTTGAGGCATAATGGGGCTGCTATACATGTGCTGATGGCATCCTGGTGTGCTGATATCATCCTTGTCCCTCAGAGAATACATTACGTCATCTGATATAAATTGTCATCAATCCTTTGCCATGGTCAGATCACTTTCTAGTTTATATGTATGTCACTAACAAACGGCATTTCCACAGAGTAATAAACTGTTAAGAATATATGTTCTTGGTGCTTGTTTGATGCCCTAGGTTTTCTGGGAATGCTGGAAGAATTCCTCAGTGATTTTGTGGGAAGTTCCTCTGTGCATCTTGCCAACCTCTGGAATTCAGAGATCAGGAGTGTGCTAGATGAGATTGGCTCTGAGTGGCCTTTTTTTCCGCACAGATCTCAGAAGTCTCCTTGGTTTATTGAGGTGTTTCAGGAAATTAAGCAGGTAAAGAGACACTTAGAGCACAAGTAGAAGGAAATGAAGAATGAATGTGATCATGCACATTTACATCCTCCTGTTTGGGATTATACAGAAATGAATAATCAGAGAACGTAAATGATAGTATTGATTATTATTGGAAAGCAATTTCTTAACCATAAATATTGTTGTCTCCCCTCTTCTCTCCACTAGTTCTAAACATGGGCAACCTATTGAAACTTCCACTAAGTTAAAAGGCCAGGACCTCTTAACCCTACAAAACTATACACCTGACGAAATCAAATATTTGCTTTGGGTAGCATCAGATTTGAAAAACAGAATCAAATACAAAAAAGAGGTAATATGAATACTTTAGCTCTCATTTCTTTATGTTTTTTCTTCCCATATAGAATCTTGTGTGATTCTGTAATTATAGATATTCACTGTACTTCAGAAATTAGCAAAGTTTTAAAAATAGTTAGCTTGTCTATTAAAATGACATGCTTATCATAATTTATATTTATGTTATAGCTAATATATTTAAGCTAAAGACTTTGGGAATAAGTACCACTTATTGAAATTTTATTTGAAAGTAAAACATTTAACATTTTGTTTCTGCTTTGCATTATGTTATGCCCTCAAATGAAAGATGGTAGTTTCAATCGCTCAGTTAGTTTAGAACTACAACTCCCAGCTTTCTTCATGTAGGACCTGAAAATCCTTACCTGCTTAAAAGGAATATTTCATTTAAGAAAGAAAGAAATATATCATTTAAGAAAGAAAGAGTCCCACCCTTCATCTGAACACGATTCAATAGCAAAACACTATAAGCTGATTTGAGTCAAAATAATCATTTCACATTTAAGTGTGTGATACATACCACCCTTTTCTTTCTTGAATTTCAGAATTTACCTTTATTACAAGGCAAATCTTTGGCCCTGATTTTTGAGAAAAGAAGCACAAGAACTAGATTATCTATTGAGACAGGTAAATATAAACTAAAATATTATGGCTATACATATCTTTTCTTCTGTGACCTGCATAACATTTAACTGCTGAAATTACAATATATTTAGAGTCCTAAGGAAAGGCCAATATTGTTTAAAAATATGGTTTGTCATTATTTATCTCACAATTAGTTGTTTAGAGTTATGATTTGTTACTATTACAATAAATAAAACAGAATTTTTAACAGAAAGGATTCTTTCAAATCATTCAGAATTTAATCAAAGTGATTCCAAAGTGCTTACAGTATATTCAACACTAGCTGAATACCCATGCTCCGCTACGAAACTATGTGATCGGACTTGATAATTCGACACTTACAGCTTGAAAATTAATGAGTAGTTGTGATCAGCCTCTCCTCTCCTCTTCTCTCCCTCAGGCTTGCCCCACAGAATCCTCCCCTATCCTATCCCCTTCTCTCCCTCAAGTGTGCCCCACACAGAAACGTCTCCTATCCTACCACTTTCTCTCCCTCAGCCTTGCCCCACAGAAACCTCTCCCATTCTATCCCCCTTCTTTCTCTCAGGCTTGCCCCATGAATCCTCCCCTATCCTATCCCTTTCTCTCCCTCAGGCTTGCCCTATAGAAGCCTCCTCTATCCTATCCCCATCTCTCCATCAGACTTGCCCCACAGAATCCTCTCCTATCCTATGACTCCCTCTCCCTCAGGCCTGCCCCAAAGAAACCTCTCCTATCCTATCCCCCTTCTCTCCCTTAGCCTTTCCCCACAGAATCCTCCCCTATCCTATCACCTTCTCTCCCCCTGACTTGCCCCACAGAATCCTATCCCACTTCTCTCCCTCAGGCTTGCCCCACAGAATCCTCCCCTATCCTATCCCCATCTCTCCATCAGACGTGCCACACAAAATCCTCTCCTATCCTATCACTTCCTCTCCCTCAGGCCTGCCCCACAGAAATCTCTCCTATCCCCCTTCTCTCCCTTAGCCTTGCCCCACAGAATCCTCCCCTATCCTATCTCCTCCTCTCCCCCAGACTTGCCCCACAGAATCCTATCCTATCCCCCTTCTCTCCCTCAGGCTTGCCCCACAAAATCCTCCTCTATCCGATCTCCCTCAGGCTTGCCCCACAGAATCCTCCCCTATCCTCTCTCCTTCTCTCCCTCAAGTGTGCCCCACAGAAACCTCTCCTATTCCCCTTCTCTTCCTCAGGCTTGCCCCACAGAATCCTCCCCTATCCTATCCTCTATCCTATCCCCTTCCCCACAGCCACTGCTACCGGTTTGCCCGAACCGGAGAAAACCTAAAACATCAGGATTCCTGATGTCAGGATTCCTGATGTTTTAGGGACATACAAATGTTATTTAAGTGTCTAATCTGCACATAATATTGTGACTGTGATACCAATAATAAAATATATTATAAAGATACCAATAGTCTTTAACTTATGACCCATATTAGGACTGAAATTTCCATTTCTAAGCAACATGGTCATAAAGTGAGAGATCACATCGTTGCATTGCTTAGCACTAACAATCCCAGCACTCCTTTTTGCTGTTGTTGAACAAATTCCATTTGTTGTTAGCTGAGACCTCATCCCAAACCAAGTCATTCTGAGATTGGTTACTCCTAGCTCCAAACCTTGTTTGTTCCAAGGTAATGAACTGGCTTCCCTTCAACTCTCCCCACCTATTTCCCTCCATTTCTGTTCTTTTGGCCATCCTGCAAAGTTCTGGAGCTGCTTAAACATTCTGCAGTTCAGGAGTTTCTTGGAATGCCAAGGCTTTGGAGATGCAAGAAGCTCCTGACCTACAGCACAAAGCCAAAACCACCCTTGGAAACCTCAGTTGCCCCAGCCCTGGCCCAGCAGCACATGTCTTGTGAAGCTGCAGCCATCCTGGAAAGCCCAGGCTAGTCCCAGTCACAACTGCTCTTGCCTCCCTGTGCTCTGCCACCACAGCTGATCTTCACCATCTTCTTGCTCCTACTGCTCATAAGGTTGTTTGCACTGGCAATTTGTGTGACAGCTGCTGGCCACATGAGATACTCTTCCCGAGGTCTTACTAAGAAACTGCCATGTGCAACCTGGGGAAGAAAATCCTCATGCAGCCAGTAGCTACCTCATTAAGGGCCAGGGCAGGAATTCTTAGTAATTCTTAGTAAGCAGTGGGAGCAAGAAGACTGGTGAATGTGAACTAGGGCAGCAGGGGCCACAGAGTGCAGGGAGGCAAAAGGCCATAGATGGGGGAAGTTGAAGCACCCCTACAGCCATTGAGTAAATGGTCATAAGTATTGAAGTGGCTGTTGATTTTTTGTAGTTCTATGCTAGTTGTCTTCCAAAACATTCCTGGAATTCAGCTACCATCACTACCAAATAGCATGGAAATCATTAGGCCCCAGTGCTTATGCACTGTGGACTAGTGACATCTGGAGAACATCAATTAGGGGAATTCAATTTCAGAAGTCATGGAGAAAAAAATGATCTTCAACGAAAGATTTAGGATGTCTATATTATCCTATATCCCTAGAAAAAGAGCAAGTTTTTTTTTTACAAAATAGAATTAATAGATACCAAGAATAACTAAGTCTGTTTGAAGCATTGATTTATATAGAATGTCTTCTTTTCACTGCACCCTTATATTGGAAGTATTTTAGGAATTGTAATAAACATGTGGCTATCACATGTTGAGCACTATCACTAATAATAAATTTATCTCTTACTACTTTCACTGCTTTATAGGATATATGGCAATAGCTGTACCACCATGGTGAGAATAAAGCAAATCTTGACACCTTAAAGAACACACGCTTCGGTATACTATTGTCAAGGGAACAGGATGAGGAAACTGAACAGAGTCAGGATCATGACATAAGATTAGGAATGTCCACATTCTAATCAGAATTGAGCAATCCTTAGGGAAATGATTATATTGTTCCATAATTTTCATCCCCCATGTATATGTAACATGCAAACAAGATTTTCACTGCACTGTTCATTTGATTGAAGGTGGTGCTATGTGCATTCTAATATGAATTCCAAATCACCCTTTTTTCTTTAAATTCAGATTGCTGCACAATATTACAGTTTGTACATAGTTCTTTTTATAGATCGCTTCTTTTAAAAAGCAAAGTTTTGTTGCTACTGGAATTCCACATAGGAATTGGATTTTGTTTCCATAGATTTGCTTTAATTTTTTGGAGGAGCTCTGCAGTCTTTGGAAGGTGATTGTGCATGTTACTACATTTTTCAAGCAGAACAGTCTTATTGTATAGAAGAATTTCTGTAGTGTAGACACTGCTGGACTATCTAAGTGCATAGCAAATGTTATTGTTTGTCTGTTTGATCATGTATGTATGTATGTATGTATGTATGTATGTATGTATGTTTGTATGTTTGTATGTTTGTATGTTTGTATGTTTGTATGTTTGTATGTTTGTATGTTTGTATGTATGTATGTGAATAATAATTGCATTAGACA